TGTGTGTGTGCACGCGCGCATGCACCTATAATTTCAGTGAGACAAGGAATTCCCTCTATTAATGCAGACGGGTAACTGCTCTGTAATCTATAGTCTTAGACAGTATCCCAGTACTCTAAGGGATTAAGTGATTTGCCAAGTATCATACCCAGTATATGTTAGTCTTGGGATTTGAACTCCTATCAACTGGACTCTGAGGCTGGCCCTCTACCCCTTATACCATACTGACTCTCAGCCATTCTGATACTTGAAGAAAATTATCAATAGTCCCTATCTTCTTTCCCAGATGAACTATTCCCCAGTTCTTTTAAGTGGTCCTCATATGGGTATCATCTCTAGTTCCCTTATGATCCCGGCCACTCTACTCTAAATGGATGCCAGCTTATTACTGTCCTTAACATGCAGTATCTAGAACTGAACACAACACCACTAATGTAGTCTGAACAAGCAGAATACGGTGAGATGTCCCTCATTCAGAATGCCAGGCTTTAATGAATGCAGGGTAAGATCCCATGCACTTGGGAGGGTTAGAAATGGCTCCAAAGCTTGGGATTACGGTTCACACTGCAGAAAGACAGGGTGCAGAAGCCTTCAATTCTGCAAGGCTAAGAGTTGCGATATGCCCACAGTCTTGAATCTGATGTTCTAGGCTGAAAGTCATCTATATAGAAGACAGCTAAGGGGAAATAGACAAAAAGCACTGAGCCTGGGTCCAGGAGACCTGGGATAGAGTCCAGTTCTGACACTTACTAGTTGTGTGATCCTGGGCAAATAACTCATTTAACCTCCATCTGCCTCAGGTTTCCTCCTCTGTAAAATGTGCACAGTAATACTTGCATTAACTACCTCTCAGGGTCATTGTGAGCAAAGACGTTTATAAATCATAAACTGCCACAGGAGTGTGGTTTGTTATTATTTTTTCAATTTTTTTTTTATGGTCATGATGCATTGAGGTCAAAGCGTCTAGTCATCTAGCCCTAGGTAGCTGTGGGAAAAGCCAAGTCATGAGCCTTGCCTACCATTTGGTCTCTGAAATAAAACCTGGCCCAGCCATGCACATATGAGCCTCAGGTATCCATCCTGTCTTTCTCCACAAAGCCACCAGGAGGGATGGATGATATCGGCTTAATATTGCTGAGGACAGGGTGAAAGAATGAGGGAGGGACTCTGTGTGTGTGTGTGTGTGTGTGTGTGTGTGTGTGTGTGTGTATGTGTATGAGAGGGGGCGGAGGAGGGAGGGAGAGAGGGGGAGAAAGGAAGGAGAGAGACGAGAGAGAGAGAGAGAGAGAGAGAGAGAGAGAAAGAGACAGACAGAGAGAGAGCGAGAGAGAGGTTGAGGGGGAGCAAATCTCAAATCTCATCACATTCAGTGAGGTTTTCATTTAGGCTATTTTGGTGTTAATGCAGAATGACTTGCTATTTTAAATGAACAAATTCTACCCCCTGTTTCCCTTCAGTCCCATCCCACCTCAAACAAAAAATCCTCGAAGAGCCAACAAGGCAGCCACCTCTCAGCAGCAGGATGCCCTGGTGTGCGTTTCATCCACCACCTCCACACCTCCCACAAACAGCCTCAGTGAGGGCCGCAGCTGTCAGCAGCATCAGCTGTTTCAGAATGTGCATGGAGGTGTGGAGAAGAAGAGAGAGTAACGGGTAATAAATAGCTGAAAGTATGTGGTTTCTCTTTTTCCTTTCATCTCTTCTTTTTTAAAAACAAGAAAGATGCAAGCCAAAGAGCCCATTTGTGCAATCCTCGGGCTTCTAATTTGACAAAAACAAAACACTGAAAGCAATCTGCAAGTTAGTAGGGTTGTTGTACCATTACTGCTAGGGCCTGTTCTCACTGATTTCTCCCCAGAGGGCTGCCTCCCTTTCCACACTCCATTCCAGCCAGTGTCTGCTCTCCACATCAGCTGGGCTCCCAGATCTGAAGCCCATGTACAGTGAGGATGACCCACACCTCACTCCAGGTCAGTAGTCCTTCCGATCCCTTTGGATCCATGCACATTAGTTATGTCCCTCAATTCATTTCCACAAGCATTTGCTAAGCTACTACTGACTCTAATATGTTGCTCAGTTGTTTTTCAATCACATCTGACTGTCTGTGACCCTATTTAGGGTTTTCTTGACAAAGACATTGGAGTGGTTTGGCATTTTCTTCTTCAGCTTGTTTTACAGATGGGGAAACTGAGGCAAACAGGGTTAAGTGACTTACCCAGGGTCACATAGCTGTCTGCATAGGTGTCTGCGGCCAGATTTAAACCCAAAAAGATGAGTCTTCTTGATTTTGGGCCCAGCACTCTATCCACGCACCACCTAGCTGCCCTCAAGCTACTACTGAGGCAAAGGAAAATAGAAATGAAAGAGTGAAACAAGATGGTATGGTAAGAGCTAGGAATTGTGAGAACTGAGATAAACTGGTGGGCAGCTTGTGTGTGATAGTTACTTGTACCATCATGATCTCAAGAGAAATGGAGGAAAGCTCTCAGTAAAGAGGGTGGACCCACTGGGGCAAACTATGGGAGGACACAGACAATCATTAGATGGGATGGACAGGTGTGCAGGGACTGTGATCAGCATCACTGGTTACACACCCGCCTCAACAAGATTACAGGTCCATTGGAGTATGGAAGGTTAAAGTCCTTTCCCAGCATAACACTAGGAGTAAATATTCTAAGTATTGTTATCACCATTTTACAGAAGAGGAACCCGAGGAACCCAGGTTGAATGCGGTGGAACCAGGATTTGAACACACATCCTCTGGCTCCACAGCCAGTGTTCTTTCCATTGGGATGTAAGTTCCTTGCAGGTAAGGACTGTTTATTTTTGTCTTTAGCACAGTTCTTGGCACATGGCAGGTACTTAAAAATGCCACTGACTGCATGCAACTCAGTGATAATAGTATCAACACAAGCATATCTTTCACCGCAAATAAGTTGGAGTTTAATATTCAATACCATTCGATAAGCCAAGTGACTTGACCATAGTCACACATATAGTAAATATAAAATCAAGGATTCATATCCACCACCATATGCTTTTGTAAGAATTCTATCCATGCCTCTGGCTGCTGCCATATTTTGGGTAGGGAAAATTCAATGTCTTTTTCTCTTTCCTTTCTCCACCCCCTCCCTCCCTCCTTCCTTCTTCCTTTCCTTTGCTTCTGATCTCTGCTCAGAAGAGCACAGAGAAAGGGAAAAAGCATCCAGGAACTTGAGGTCAGTCTAATGGACTCCACTTTTAGGCCTGGGGTAGGGGTCAGGGTGGAACAAGCATCTGACCACATCCTTCTCCTAACTCATTTCCATGAACTCTAAGGTCAGTCCCCTTTCTTCTTTTTCATAAAACCTAAAGTGGAAAATTGATTCATAAGGCTTATGATTTCACTGGTATAGGGCCTGCCAAGTAAGGAAGCTCTTTCTACCAATGCAGGTCGGTACCTTCTCTGAAACCGATAGTCCTTGAAGGTTGCCCAGAGGATTGACAACTTGTATAACTTGTCCAGGGGTACACAGCCAGTGTGCGCCAGAGACAGAATTTGAAATCAGGTTTTTGGTTTGAATCCACTATGCCCTGGTGCCTCTTACAGAAACTAGAGAGTGCTACAGAAATGTGAAAAGTCATTGTCATTTTCTCATTTAGTGCTCACAAGAACGTGGGCTTTCTTTAAGATCATAATATGTGACCATATTTGTAACCATAACCACATCATACAATACAAACACAGAGAAGTGAAATAAGATAATTTGGGGAGGGAGAGAGCACTCGCTAAACACTAGGTAATTCAGAAAGATTTAGCAGGGGAGGTGACCCTTGAACAGAGCATTGAAGGTAACAGGATTTGAAGAAGTGAGAAGGCCGTGGGAAACAGATCTCGGAAAGGCATGGAGATGGGAAATGGAAAGCTAAGTTCTAGGTTCAGCAAGTAGGCTTGTTTGCCTAGAAGACATAGCACATGACCAAAGGTGTAGAACAAGGCTAGAATGGGATATTGGAGCCATATTGCATAGAGCTTCAAATGCCAAACTGAAGAATGGTATTTTTTTTTCCTAGACGTAATAGGGAGCCACTGATGATTTTTGAACTGCAGAATGTTATGTCATCAGACTTGTGCACCTAGACGACTACATTGAACAGCTCTTGAGGGGCTGACAGTGGGTATTAAGGTCAATCCCATGAAGTCCTGGGAAATATTATGTAGATTAAGGACATAGAAACAGATCTCCAACTGCCACCACAAATAAAAGGTCCCTACTTAAGAGTGTCCCAGAAACTGACGTACATTGATGGATTTGAGTTTAAACTGATATACAAATATGGCACCAATCACATTTACATTCTTTTGCAGACAAAGGCAAAGCAAGAGAAAATATATGTGTTTGGGAGAGTTTTCTCTTTTCTTAGGTTTGAATCTATAGCTCAGACCCTGTTCATTAGGGCTCCTTCTTAGACAAATTTAGGCAGGATTGAATTAAACGATTAGGCCATGGTATGGAGTTAACAGCAATGAAGAGAGGGCCATATCCCTGTTGACTGTCATGACCAGACTTTAGATACCAGTCTGCAGCCATCTTTGGGAAGAGAGGAGCCTGCAGGCATGTTCACACCTCCAACCTCTCCATCTGGGGAAGCTTATGCAATGACCCTTTGCCTTTCACCCATGACCTCTCCATCAGCCTGAATCCCAGCTGATTCAGAGGTGGTGGGAACTCAGATCAGTTTCTTTCCTACAGCTGTATTTATGTGAGCACATAGTTGACCTGATCAAGCATCTGCCCTCTAGCTCCGCTCCCTGCCCCACCCTAGGGGCCAACCACCAGGTTCAGGCAGGCGGAAAGAGTGTAATCTCAGAAAAGAGAGCAACTCTGCACGGCACCAGAGGCCAACCGTTTGCCCTTCCCTAAATGCTTATGCTGGGAAAAATGCTTTATAGATTCTCATTCCAAGAGTCCGCAGGATGGTCCCTCTTTCCAGTCCTAGGGCAGGGCAAAGACAGGTACCTTCTGGCCGTGGCTTTGGTTTTTCTAGCCCTCCATCTTGCATCAGTTCAAACGAAAACGACACGTTAAGAACCTAGAAAGAAATCACAAAAGCTACGTCAATGGAATTCCTTCTCTTCTCCTGTGATCCCTGAAGCTTCGGGCCCCAGCAAAATGAGGGAACCTGGGGCTGCTGACACAGGCACAAACATCTTTCCTAATTTGGAAGGAGGGACCCAAGCCATTTAATTGTGGGGGCATTCCAGTTTAAAGGCAGGTGGGCTGGAGAAACTCTGGCAGAGAATCAGCTGCACTGATCCCTGCTTGCCACAATCAATCGGCCCAAAGATCAAACCTTTCCTCCTGAGGTACCTGGTCCCTGCTTTATGTGGCTAGCCTTCTGCCTAGGTGGATTTCAGAGTATTTGCAGAGATCGGACAGGAAGTCATGGCTTTGATATCTTGAAAGGGGAAAAAAATATTTCTCCTACTTTCTTGAATGCCCCTCATCTAGGGACAAAGGCTGGGGAAGGGAGGGAGGTACCAGTTAAAAGACAATTAGAGCTCGGCTGAGCTGCTGGAATAGAGGTGTTTGGGTCCTTGCAGGGCAGACATGAATTCACAGCAGTGTAGATTTAGAGATGAAAGGGGCCTTGGAAACTCTCTAGCCTAACCCTCTCATTTTGCAGATGAGGAAACCGAAGCCCTGAGAGGTCAGGTTGAATGTGGCAGAACCGGGATTTGAACACACATCCTTTAGCTCCGTAGCCAGTGTTCTTTCCAGTAGAATGTAAGGACTGTTCATTTTTGTCTTCAGCACATTTCTTGGCATGTGGCAGGAAGGCCGTTGACTGCATGCAACACAGTGATAATAATATCAGCCCAAGCACATCTTTCATTGCAAATGGGGTAGAGTTTGATATTTGAGAAGATTTTTAAATTGAAGTTAGTAATGAAAATCATCTCCATAATATAAAGGATCCATAATTTCTTCAGGGTGGGTGATGTGCTGCTCTCACATGAAATGCTACCTGCTTTCCTAGTGTGTATTTCTGTGGCTGGAAAGCTTGGGGGCTCAGCTGGCGTGCTCGTCAGATGACATGGTCTAGTCATGACCAGGCTAACACTTGAAGGCCTTCCAGCCTGGGGAGGTCTCTGGGCTTAGAAGTCCAAGGCAAGGTGGGCAGGGGTATTTACGTGGACTGAGCAGCAGTATCCAATTATACTTCCCTTAAGTGGAACTTCTCAGAGCTCTCATTGGCTGCCCGTTGGGCTGAATCTGCTCTACTGTACAAGGCTGGGAACTGTGTAGGTAAGCATAGGGGGAACCTGGGTATTCTGCAAGGTCTCCAGCCATTTTTCCCTTCTCTGGAAGTGAGGGGTTCAACAGAAGGGAGGCAACAACACCCTGTACCTTGGCCAGAGTCCTCCATATTCCTCTTAATCCAGACAAGGCACCTACAGGGTCAGAGGAGCTACCCTGGGCACTGGTAAAAATGGAGAACCCAAGTACCTTCTGCTCAAAGCTCTCCGGGGTCAGGAAGAAGCTGTGTAGAGGCACAAAGTAGCCCTCCAAGAGGCCCATGAGCAGCACCAAGTATACTCCATCTGCAAACTGGGGAGAAAAAAACGAAACGAAAAAACAAGTGGGCATTTTGACTGTACTTGGGCTTGCACGCACACAGTGACTCCTGGTTGGGCCCACAAACAAGCAAGCCTAATGATAATAATGATGACACTAATGATAAGACCCTTTTCTATAGTTAGAGGTGGAGAATGCTGGGCAAGGAGGAACAGCTGTGTGTTTGAATTGAGGGGGGGAATCATTCTCTATTTATGGACATCAGGAAGTAGCCTCAGGATTAATGTTGACCTTGAAGTAGGCAGAAACTGGCTGGTGATGGCGAAGTTTGCAGAGCGAGTTAGTGGAGCATAGAATGTTTGTGTTAAGGGTGAGGGTGTTGGTACAGAGTTAAACGTTTCAATTCAGTGGTTCATTAGAAGGAATGGCATGGGTGACTAGTCAGTTCACTATCAGAATTCAGTCTGCGTATGGGAGGGGGGCAGGCAAAGAAGGAGAGGAGAGAGAGAGAAAGAGAAGGAGGAAGAGAGAAGTTTGGGTCCTTCTTACATTCGTGGGTGTACATGCCAGTAGGGAGGAATGGTGAGGAGATTGTTAACTAGACCTGGTCTCCTATGACTTGTGAGAATTAGGCCTTCTAGGAGTTCTTCCTAGGCAGGAAGAATGGGCCTGACCAAGACGACAGGCTTATAATACGTAGGGTGCTTTGTGGTCACAAAGTACTGTAAGAAATGTCATGTCACTCATTTCTCACAATTACCCTGAGAGCTACGAAGATCATGAACCCCATTTTACAGACAAGGAAACAGAGACCTGGAGAATAGAAATGCCTTTTCCAAGGTCACAGCTAGAAAATATCCCAGCTGAGATTTGAACACAACTCTTTTGCCTCTGGTTAGTGCCTTGTCTCTCTAATGATAATAATAATAACAACAACAATAATAATAGCTAACATTTATATAGTTTTTACTATGCGCCAGGCACTGTGCTAAGTGCTTTACACTAATTATCTCATTTGGTACTCCCAATAACCATGGGAGGTAGATGCTACTATTATCCCCATTTGAAAGATGAGGAAACCGAGGCAAACAGAGGTTAAGTGACTTGCCCAGGGTGACACAGCTAGGAGGTGTCTGAGGTCAGACCTGAACTCAGGTCTTCCTGACTCCAGGCCCAGTGATCTCTCCACTGTACCACAATAATAACAATAACTAACATTTATACAGCCCTTACTATGTGCCAAGCACTATACTAATCACTTTTCAATTATTATTATCTCATTTGGTCCTCACAACCACCTGGGAGGTAATAATAATAATAATAATAAAATATTAAAAATAATAATAAACAATAAAGTAAATAATAAAAATAATAACTAACATTTACATAGCACTTCCTATGTGCCAAGCACTTTACAATTATATCATTTGATCCTCACAAAAAGTAGGTGCTATTATTATCATCCCTATTTCACAGATGAGGAAACTGAGGCACACAGGTAAAGTTATCTGCCCAGGGTCCCACAGGGAGTGTCTGAAGCAGAATTTGAACTCAGTTCTTCCTGATGCCAGGCCCAGCACTCTATCCACTGTGTCACAATGACAATAATAATAAAAACTAATAAACACTTGAAGGTTTGCAAAGTGCTTCACAACTATTATATCATTTGATCTTCACAACAATCCTGGGAGGCAAGTGCTATTATTCCCATTTTACAGATGAGGGAACTGAGGCTGAGAGAAGGTAAATTATTTGCTCAGTGTCTGAAGCTAGAGTTGAAGTTGGGTCTTCTGGACTCCAGGCCCAACACTCTAACCATTGCACCACTTAGGGGAATTTGTTTCCCTTGATTCCATAGCTGATATTGTTACAGAAAGCAAAGAGTAGATAATGAAATATCAGTGTATTAACAAAGTTTTAACATTCAATGGTCCTTTTATGAAGTGTGAATACCTTTTTCTGATATTAGCTGGGCTGAAAATGGGTCACAGTCCTAGAGACTTCTAATAGGTAAACCCTAGAGAGAGTTTGGGAGTTTGGTGAGTGTAGGCCAGGAGCTGCTAATGGAGGGAACTCGTGTGTGTGCGCGCGCGCGCGCGTGTGTGTGTGTGTGTGTGTGTGTGTGTGTGTGTGTGTGCCTCTTCTCCCTGCCCCCCACCTCCCTTCCCCACAGCAGCCCTTTGAATCCCTTCGATGGAGATGGTAGCAGGAGTATACTTCAAATTGACATGGATACCGAGAGGCAGTTGTCCCTTGGGTAGGAAGAACATTCTAGAAGCAAGACCCTCTGGAAGCAAAGAAGAAAGCCGGCTTAGACTCAAAAGAGAGCCAGCCCTGGCAACCAAGGGCTCCACTGTGAAAAGGAACACACTGCAAGAACTCAGCTAAGCAACCCGCCCTGAGGAGATGCTGTGCCCCCGGGGTACACCTCATAAAAGTGTTCTTGGCTAGGGTGAGCATCAAAGCAAGGGCTGAATGTGAGAAAACGTGCCAGGATGTTGTAGACAGAAATTCCTTCACAGGGTGGAAGGGGGTACTAGAATAACCTCTATCTTCATTTCCAACAAAGCAATGAGAAGATGGCTTTTGCTTATATATCTAGAAATCTGAAAAAAGACACGGCGCAGAGCATGAAGGCTCACAAAAGTTTTCTTAATAGAAGATGTTCCTGAGGGGCCTCCTGTGTCTAGACGGACCATCCGCAGGAGGGACAGAGCACGTCTCAGGCAATCTGTGTATTTTTCACCCCAATGAGCATAAAACTAGCTTCTTCAAATTGCCTTGGTAAAATGCCTCCCACTTAACATTTGAAAGGAGAGAACCAAGGAAAAAGAAGACGAGCAAAAAAACAGAAACGAAAACAAACACAAAAAAAACAAAACTAGACGATGATACTAGATTTAGCTAAGCTGAAAGTCAGTCCTATCACCCTATAAGGCTATAAGCTCCCTGAAGGTAGACACTACATCATTTGTCTTTGCATCTTCCTGAGCATCCAACATAGGGCTTTGCAACCTAGAACTAGGTGTTACCATAAACAATTCTTCTTATATGTGTTTGCAGACTGTGCTGGAGCTCTTGAGCTCTGCAGCTAATAATTTCTTGGCTTGACTCAATGACGTTGGGCAAGTCACTTAACTTCCTTGGGTCTTAGTTTCCTCGATTGGGTTGGTTGGTGGTTTGAACTAGACAGCCCCCAAGATTCTTTCCAGCTCTGAATCTATGACCTTAGGATTTTATTTTTCAAAAAATGACGGACGTGATAAGGGAAATTCCTATTCTGCCCAACAAGAAGGCACTTCAGTTGTTAAAGCAAAAATTATGGGAACCTAGCAGGAAGTGACCCTCTCATTTTAAAATGTGTGATAGGGATAGAGGGAAAAGCAAGGCATAGTCTGCTTGGGAAAGTAGCTGCCAACACTACTTAGGAAACTAGACTTTAGAGGACTCAGGGAAAGGATAGGGACGATCCCACAGGCTAAAATGCTATTGGAGAAGTCATTCCAGGAGGAATGGGGACAAAAAGTAAAATTTTTCCAAAAACCAAGAAAACTGAAAGGGCAAGAAATTTATGGATCAATGTAGGTTTTGAAAAGGTGGATGCAAAAGATGGAATCAAGTCTAGACAACTAAGAATGGACACAAAAGTACAGAAGAGGCCAAATGGAGTTAGAAACCATTCAAGTCGCAAAGAGCTGAGGGTGATGAGGAATTCCACATAGCTAAAAGATTTTTAAAGCAAAATTAGGGGAAGAGAGAAATCAAAGAGATAGGGACTGCTGCTTCAACGGGATGCTGATAATGGAAGACAAAGAACATAGAATGACAACTCTTAGTTTTCTTCTGTTTTTGGTTTTTTCCTGCCAATGAGGCTGGCAAAAAAAAGGGGGGGCTAAAAATAAGGACTGGAGAAAAATGACTAATACGGAATTAAGTAGGGAGATCATAAGAAAGTGACTAGATGGACTTGATGAATTCAAGTTACCAGGTCCAGATGAACTAAATTGTTGAAAAATCCCAATGATCTTTGAAAGACTGTGGTGAATGGGGAGGTGCCACAGGATTAGAGAAAGGCAAATGTGTCTTGATTTTCTAGGAAGAGAAATCTATCAAACTAGATAGACTCTACGACCTTGATATTTCTTGGTAAGATTCTAGACTAACACATTATTAAGAGATAATTTGTAAGTATCAAGAAATGAACACATTATTAAGATGTTAAGAGAAGGGGTCAATTCAATCTATTATCCAACCAACCAGAGTTTCTAGGCATCAAGAACGGGTCATGGCACACTAAACTTTCTTGATTTTTTTTTTTTTTTGGACAGAGTTACTAACTAGATCCAAAGACTGCTCTGGTTATAGTTTCTCTAGATTTTAGTCGAATGTTTGACTGAGTCTTTTATGTTATGCTTGTGGAAAAGATGAGAAATGTGGACCATCTAGTCTAACTCATATCTGAACAAACCTTCCTCCTATTCTATGTGTCCCCTTGAAGGTCTCCAATGAGGAGGAGGGACCCCGTTCCTTCCAGAGGCAGCCCAGCCCATTACATTTCTTTGATAACTGGGAGGAGTAAAGAGCCTCTGGGGAATTCACAGTATAGGGAGACAATACACATAAAAAGTTGATGAAAAAGTTAACATCACGTGACAGAAATATAGGAAAACCAAAAAATGAATCTTATAGGGAAGTACTACAGAAGTGTTGAGGAAGGGCAGATTGCTTCCAGCTGGGGGGAACCCGTAAGGCTGAATGGAGGAGAGGGGATTTGCACTGGGCCTTGAGGCATCCTAGGTTATATTTAGAATTGGAAGGGACTTTAAGAGGCCATCACGTCTAAGTCCTTTATTTTATAGATGAGGAAAGTGGAGTACAGAGAGTTTAAGAATTCCAGGTCTACCTGAGTCTGGGTCCTAGCTACTGGGTCACGCTGGATAGGCTTTGGATAGGTAGAAGAAAGGTCAGGGGAAGAGCTTTCTAAGTAAGGAAGTTGGACCACACCTCAGACAGAAGGGCTTGTCCTATGTTCAGGGAGGTAGGGATGTGCGTTTTCAGCAATAGAACGCAAAGCTGCTGCCAAGGGAATTACATAGCTATGCAAAGGCATCCAATCCATATTGCAGGAATAATTCCCCTAGCTTGGGCTGGGCACATGGCAGGCACTTAGTATATGTGCTTGTTAATTGGCAAGTGGGATGGTTTTGTGACTAATTCTGTTGGAATGGGAGTAGCGGGAATACTTTCTGCCTTCAGAGAGGGCAAGCTCAGCCTTGTCTTGGAGGAAAGAATATGACCGACCACCAGCTCATGATTCTTATGTTTATTATTAATGCTCCTCTGGAAAGAATTATTCAACTGTGACCTCACCAAAGCAAAAAGGCCTACAAGCTGTCAGGGAGATACAAGCCGTCTGCTGCAGAGAAGCCTGAGCACAATGCATCCCCAGCTCTTCTGAATCTAACTCTAATAACACAATGCACTTATATCACGATTCCCAGAGTCTTAGATTTACAAGAGCTGGGGTCATCTTGTCCAACCCCGATCTGAAGCACAAATTCCCTCTATGACTGGACTGATCACTTAGCATGTATTAAGTGCCTACTAGGTGCCAGGCACTGGGGGATACGGGTTTTATTTATTTAGTTCAGGCCCTCATCTCCTCTCACCTAGGTTATTGCGACAGCCTCCTAATTGGTCTTCTGCCTCAAGTCTCTCACCACACCAGTCCATCCTGTTGCCAAAATACTTTTCCTTACGCATAGATCTGACCATGTGACTCCTTTACTCAACCACCTTCATCAAATGGCTTCCTATTGCCTCCAGAATAAAATACAAACTCTTTTTAGCTTTTAGGTTGCTGCACAACCTATCTTTTCAGTCGCAGTGGAATGACTCTTGCATTCTATAATTCAGCCAAACTGGTCTCTCTGTTCCTCACCCATGACACTCCATCTCCAGTCTCCACTTTGCACTGGTGGGCCCCACGCCCTCAATGCTCTCCCTTCTCCCTCCACCTCACAGAGGCCCCCCTCTTCCTTTAACATGCAGCTTAAGCACCATCTTGGGCATGAAGTCTTTCTTAATCCCCTGAATGTGAACAGCCTTCCTCTCAAACTGTGATGTACCTAATTACTTTGTATTTATTTGCAGTTATTCCCTCTATATTTATGCTTAAATATGTACTTGTCTATCCCATTAGAATGTAAACTTCTTGGGAGCAGGGATTATTTCATTCTTTGTACTCAAATTTCTAGCACCTGGAACATAGTAGGTGCTTTAAAATGCTTGTTGATTGACTGACAGAAAGACAAAATTGAAACAAGTCTCTAGCCTCAAGGAGCTTACAATCTACTGGGTGAAACAATATGCCCATACATAAACAAAATATGTTCAAAGTAAATTCATTCTTTGCTTGAAGATTTCCAGTGATAGAGAACTCACTACTTTGCAAAAAGCAGCTCTGGTTATCAGGAAGTTTGTAAACCAAGTCTTTGTAACTTCCAATCCAGTTGCTAAAAAACATGGACTATCTCCTCTGATCTTCACAGCCACCTCTTGAGGAAGGCAGGATAGGTATTATTCCCATTTTAGAAATTAAGAAACAGAAGCAAGCCCAGAGAGGGTTATGTGGCTCTCCTGAGTCACGCAGCACCACCGAGCTACTGAAGTCTTTAGATTTCACATCCACTCAGCGCTCTTTTCGTTGTGACTACACTCCTTTTCCCTCAGGCCCCTCGCTCTCAACAGCAGCCGTACTCTGAGCCGGGCTTCCCTCTTCTTCTCTCCCCCCTCATTGCGCTGGTAGTGATGAGGGAGAGTACAGGCCAAAGACAACACGCTGGAACAGCCAAACCCGCTTTTGCCAAAGGACATCACCACCATCCTCTTCCGTGCCCTCCCCCACGCATCTCCCTCCTCTAAATTAACTTAAAAAAATACCTAAAGAACCCTCATTAATTACAGAAACTCAGAAGTTGGCAAAGCGTTTAGGAAATGCCCATAGGCACTCTCTCACATCCTGAAAATGTTTTCCGTTCTGTAGCCTACGAGACACTCAGCTAAGTGGAAGGGGGTGTGTGCACCATCCATGCATGCTTTCCACATTCGAGCTGAGCTGACCTCCCACACAGCTGACTTCCTACTATAGAGCTTTTAAGTCAACTCAGAAAGACCTCCTCAGGGGATGGGTAGAGACTCCCAATGGCCTGATGGTTTTAGGTTTAAGAGAGCAGCTAAGAGCTTCCAAAAGAACGCATAATAGAAGATAGGTTCCTATCTTCATTGGCCCAGCCCATCTCTAGCCCATCAGTCTCGTGTCTTCATTGGCCTGCCTGCTCACCATTCTCTCTCCAAGCCCTTTATAAGAGCTGATCTGGCCTCATCTCAGGCTCCTATGATGTCATTGGCTTACTGTGGTCCCACCCACAGCTCCTATGTCTTCACTGGTCTGATTCTGCCCTCTGCGGCTATGATGTCATCATTGATACAGGCTGGCCTTCACCCCTCTGCAGCAACTATATCATCATGGGCACAGCTTTCCCTGCCTTCCCTGTACCTAGCTCAGAGATGTCATTGGTCTGTCCCATGCCCTCTACAGCTTTCACGTCACCTCTGATTCAGCCTGGCACTCTTCTAGGCTCTCTTGACACTGCTGGTCCAACCTGGCCCCAGTAGTCATCATTTCCCCCTTCACTTGTTTGGCTTGGCCCCCGGCTGGTGACCTACCTGGGTTTCCAGTTCTGTGACTTCCAAGTTCAACTTATTCAGGTGCTTGTTCACAAAGGTGATGAGCGTCTAAAAAAAAACAGTAAATCAGGCACCAGAAAAACCGTTGGATTTGGTAGAAGACTGGGCTTAAATCTCAATTCATCTCTTTACTAGCTGAATAACTTTGGGCAAGCCATTTAAAGCCCTCTGGACTGTGTCAGGTTCCTCACTGAAGAATGGAGATGATACCAGTCCTACCTACCAAAGGGCACTTGGGAAGAAAGCTCTCTGAAAAGCTGAGATCACTGCATGTTTATTTGAAAGCCTCTTCTCACCATGCTTCTGGTGGAAGGAAGAAAGAATCTGGGGCTATTGTTTGAGGTGTGAGGTTGGGGCGATGGCCCATTTGCCTGGGAATAGGATGTTCCCCAGCTTGCCTGCTCCATGTGGGTGCTCAGGGAAGAGGAGTGGCCAAAGGGTACACTCCAGTGGTCACCAATCCCAGTGCCTCATGGGTGAGCCACACGTATAGTGCTGAGGGCCAGGAATAGTAGACTTTGAGAGTCAGAAGGGACCTCGGCACTCATCTGGTCTAACCTACACGGGAAGGGAATCTCTACTATGACTAACAGTTCTCCAGCCTCTGCTCAAAGACCTCCCAGGAGGGAAAACCCATTGCTTCTCTAGGCAGCCGAGTGCACTTTGGGACAGCTCTACGTGTTAGGAAGCATGCGTGTGGGTGTATGTGTATGTATATGTATGTGCGTGTGTGTGATCAAATCTAAATCTGTTTATAATGTCCACTTGGGGCTCTTGTTGGAATGCATTCATTCGCTTAGAGCTCTTAGCCATGTTTGTTTCGCTTTCCGGGGCCAAATGGAAAAAATGTATTCTCTCCATGTGATTTTAGCCTTTCAAACACTTAAAGACAACTACCAAGGGCCCCCTGAGTCTTCTTCAGCCTAAACATGTCTAGTGCCTTTCAACTGTTGATGACATGGACTCAAAAGGCCTTTCACCATATTAATTGCTCTCCTCTGGACACCTTGATTTCAGTTGTTTTTAAGTCCTGTCTGACTCTTGGTGACCCCATTTGGGGTTTTCTTAGCAATGATACTGGAATGGCTTACCATTTCCTTCTCCAGATGAGGAAATTGAGGCAAACAGGGTAAAGTGACTTGCCCAGGGTCACACAACTAGTAAATGTCTAAGGCCAGATTTGAACTCACAAAAATGAGTCTTTCTGACTCTAGGCCCAGCACTCTATCCACTGTACCATTTAGCTGGCCTAGAATTTAACAATCAACTCTCTTAGAGCTGGCTCTGCCATTTCCCTTTTGTTCTTGTTCAGTTGTTTTCAGTCACATACAACTCTTCATGACCCCATTTGGGGTTTTCTTGGCAAAGATACTATAGTGGTTTGCCATTTCTCTCTCCAGCTCATTTTATAGTTGAGGAAACTGAGGTAAACAAGGTTAAGTGACTTGCCTAGGGTCACACAGCTAGTAAGTTAGTGTCTGAGGCCAGATTTGAATTAAGGAAGATGACCAGGCCCAGGAGTCTATCCACTACACCACCTAAGTGGCCTCCATATTGCTTTACAGTCTAATAATAATAGCTATTGAAGATTTGCAAAGCGCTTTCCACATGTTATATCATTTGACCCTTATAACAATCCTTTGAGATTATTATTATTACTATTATTATTATTTATTACTATTACTATTATTATCTTCATTTTATAAATGAGGGAAACTGGGGCTGAGAGAATTTAGATGACTTGCCCGGGACCAAATATCCAGGACATATATGAGGCAGGATTCCAACTCCAAGCCTCTATCTACTGTCGCACTGTTATCTTTACAGCATGGTTTCTGAAACTCTTTGTGCTGTGGTCCCCTTTGGTGGGCTGGCAAAATCTATGGACCCTTTGCTCAGAATGTTTTTATATGCATGAGATAAAATAAAATAAAACACCTAGGATTACAACAGTAAGCAATTATATGGAAATAGTTATCCAAGTATTTGAAAAAATAATAAAGCCAAGTTTAGGGATCCCAGATTAAAAACTCATGCTTTCAAATAGTGCTTTCCTTCCAACAACCCCATGAGGTGGGTAATCAAAGCATCATCTCCATAGAACAGATGAAGGAACAGCTCAAGTCTTAGAGAGGTAAGGTCACTTGCCCGAGGTCACACAGTCAATACCAGAACCAAGGTCTGAACCAATGCATTCTGACTTCATGCCCAGCTCTCACGCCATGGCACCACCTTACGTCTCCACAGCCCTCTCCTTCCTTGTGTTCTTGCTTGGCACAGGAATTAGTATGCGGTGAGGGTGTGTGCTGAGTAGAACGGCAGTTTGTAGGAAGAGGGCAGGGTACTGCCCAGGCCAGGGAGGCAGGGGCATGACATTCTTGGCTTTCTTTCCTCTACACCCAAGAAAGAGTGTGGAGAGTAACCCTGGTGGCCTCAAAGAGGAGAAGAGGAGGGCTGGGAGCAGTTTCAAAGAACCATTGTTCTTGCAAAGAAACAGGCACTCCGGAAAGTCAGCCTTAGCTGTGGGTTACAGGTTTGTGTCACTGAACTGGCTTTGCAACTTCAAGGGAAAAAAAAAATCCATGTCTGTGCTCGTGAGGCTGACTGTTAGGGGACTCTCTCTCAGGGCAGCTAGGTGGTGCAGTGGGTAGAGCACTGGGCCTGGAGTCAGGAAGAACTGAGTTCAAATCCAGCCTTAGACACTTACTAGCTGTGTGACCTTGGGTAAGTCACGTAACCCTGTTGGCCTCAGTTTCCTCTTCTGTAAAATGAGCTGGAGAAGGAAATGGCAAAACCACTCCAGTATCTTTGCAAAGAAAGCCCCAAATAGGGTCACGAAGAGTCTTATAGGACTAAACAACAACACAACAGCAGTTTTGTCATCCCAAGCACCATAGGGTTGTGTTTTCCACAACAATGGGACTTGGGACCCTCAGTAAATGTATTTTTCCCATCTCCCTACTATCCCATCTCCTCTGGCTATTTACTTATTTGTATTTTTAGTTATTTATTTATTTTGGTGAGGCAATGGGGTGAAGTGACTTGCCCAGGGTCACACAGCTAGTAAGTATCAAGTGTCTGAGGCCAGATTTGAATTCAGGACTTCCTGAATCCAGGGCCTGTGCTCTGTCCACTGCACCATCTAGCTGCCTCCTATTTATTTGTATTTCAATGAAAACATCTTCCCACCTTTTTCACCACATTGAGCTTGTCGGGAGCATGGTCAAACAAGGTGTCGAAGGCATCACGCTCTGAAAGACAGAGAAATACTCAAACCATCAGCTCTGTTGACGCTCTATTCCATGTAAGAACTACCGTTTCTATAGGGCTCAGCAGCTCACAAAGCATTTCCTTCACAACCGCCCTCTGAGCTAGCATAGTGTTAAATATTGGTATTCCCATTTTAGGGAAGAGGAAAACAGGTTTCTGATGTCACTTGCCCATTGTCAACATATCAAAAACAGTAAGGGTATTGTGGGGCATGGAGGTGGAACAGAGAGTATGTGTAAGTGGTAGTGCCCAGCATTGCCCATGGAAGATCTCCCTTGGGCACTCCTGACTCCTCTGATGAGTCTGCCTGTATATCTGAAATAAGAGGTGGCTGATGTGTGCTGGTGAATCCACCAGGGTACTAAAGAAGTCAGCTACTAAGGGATAGCTGCTGGCATATTTTATATTGACTTGACTTCTACTTGGGAATGAGAAAGTCTATGGTGAGAATGGGGGCAGTGAAGTGCAGGCCCTGAGAGCAGGAGGCCTGGTGCAGCCCTGGGACCCTGGTTGTTTCATCCTGCGTCTCCTCTCCTGCCATGATCATTGTGACGAGTGCTGGTGTTTACAGGGATCTGTGTAGGCCATGTCATGCTGCTTGCTCCACAGCCCACACACAATGTGTGTACCAGAACTGGGAGTAACTGATGCTGCTGTGATCAGATGCAACTGAATGCTGCCTCTCTGGCTATACCAGATGAGTTCACTTACAATTTTCCACTCGTAGAGAAGCAGGAGGGGGAACTTGTTGGATATCTAGGCACATGAAATCCATGATCACATGGGAGTTGATTACAGATCTTTAACCCCATTCACCAAGATATAATAATAATATTAATGTAATTAATATATTAATATTATTATTGTCATCAACAAGATAATATTAAGGTACCTACTATGTGCTGGGTGCTGAGAGTACGAAGAAAAAGAGAAAGAATAGTTCCTGCCCTCAAGAAGCTTACATTCTATTTGGAGGACACAAGGTGTACACAGATAAGTACATACATGATTAGTGAGGTAGTGAGGAGAGAGAGAGAGGGAGAGAGAGACACACACACACACAGAGACAGAGTGAAAGAGGGACAGAGAGAGAGAGAGGGAGGGAGAGACAGAGAGAGAGAGAAAGAGAGACAGAGACAGAGAGAGAGTGAAAGAAAGAGAGACAGAGAGAGAGAATGAACAATTAGGGGGATTTAGGAAAGTCATGACATAGGAAGTGGTATCTGAGCTGAGCTCGGAAGAAAGCCATTTTAAAAGTGGAGGAAGGAGGTAAGAAGGGAGTATATTCCAGTTTCATTGAGCCCCTTCTGAGCTCAGTTCAGGTACCTCTTCCTCTGGCCCCCTAATTGTTATTCCTCTCTCTCTCCTCTGTGTATATGTTGTGTCTTCCAAAAAGACTGTAAGCTCCTTGAGGGGGGAACAGATTGTCCTACTCGTCAATCTGAATTGGGTGCATGGTAAAGACCATGAAGGGGAAGAATGTGAAATGAGCGTGGAGTCAGATTGCACAGGACTTCAGTTACCAAGCTGTGTTTCAAACCAAAGACAATGAGGAATCATTGAAGATTCTTGAGTAGGGTCAAGACGTCACAGTCAGAAGTTCAGCATCTTTCTACTACATGACAGGGCTTCTTTAGGGTGTTGGTAGGGGACATCAGCCTACGCTTACAAGGCATTGTCAGAGGCATGAGCCAGCTAGTTAAACAGCACTAACAGGAGAAGAAAAGCAACTGACTAGGGGAGGCAGGGAAGCATGGTGGGTGGGCAAACAGACCCTGATCAGAGCAAATTGAGGCACTGGGATGGGATGAGGACAGCCCAAGCCTATAAAGTGGGCCGTCTGCCTCGAATCAGGGACCTCCACCAATGCCTTCTATCACCTCTTTCCTTTTCCTCCCTCTCCTTTAAAGTGCAGGGGGAAATGCCCCCTGGCAAGTGAACAGAGCAGAACTTCAGAAAAGTAGCCTGCAGCCTTCCAGGGACTTCTAGAAAGGCTGGCACAGTCCCAGATGTCAGGCAGAGAGAGCATCCTCGAAGGGACCCCCTTGGGAGCGGCCACCCCTTGTGGAGGACACATGTGCCCAGGCAGCTGCAGTGTGGCCTGTCCCTCCCAGTGGCATGCAAACTGCCCGACTGTTGCAGAATTAACCAGAGTGCTCTTGGCAGCCTCAAGCCAGAGATATCACTCCTGTGAGACTTACCATGCCTTCCCGATAGAGCCCTGTGGAAAAATGAAAAAGAGAGAGAATGACATGCTTCTCATCCGCTTTGGACTGGCTTTCTTTGGTCATCAAGAGAAACTTCTAGGGCATCTTCAGTTGACTAGCTTAATCCCCACCCCTGGCCCTGACCTCGGTTGATTAGAAGCCTTTCTTTTGTTGGAAGAACTCAAAAAGCCTCTTGACACTGAGCTTTATGAGGGAGGCTGCAATTATGGGAAATGTGTGTGTGTGTGTGCTCCCTCCTTTCCCTCTCCAAAGAGTTGCCTGGGGTTGGCACAACAGAGTCCTGAGCAGCAGGGCTGAGAGGCCCTTTTACAGGGGCAGCATAGCAAGGACGGCTGAGCACGTGACTCAGAAAGACCACCTCTGACAATCCCACTTCTGACACTCACTAGTTCTGTGACCACAGGAGAGTCACTCCGTCTCTCTGGGCCTCAGCTGTAAAAATGGGGCAAATAGCATCCCCCTCACAGGTCTGTTGGAAGGTTCAAATGAAATAATGATATACATTAAAGCACTTTGCAAACCTTAGAGTGCTATCTATATGAATATGTCAGCTTTTAGGACTCAAAAGCCACTTCATGCTTTTTAAGCAAAACCATCGAATTGCAAGATTTTAGAATTGAAATGGTTACCTAACACCAACCCATATCTGAAAGGAGTCCCTAGTACAGTTAGGTCCCAATTAGTACAAATACTGAATCCCTTGAAGTGGTCTCATATAGTTAAATCCATACTATTCAAACTTATAATTATGTACAATGTGGTAATTGGTTCCAGACCAATGGAAACATGTATTCTGTGTGAATTTGAATAATGCAAACACTTAGAGAGAAAGACCCTATTCATACTAGATTCCAGGTTCCAAAAATACAACCCAGGTTGAAGAGGGTCTTCTGACATTAGAAGCATCATTCCAAAGCTAGAAGAGACCTTAGAAGCCATCTACTCAAATCTCTTCATTTTACAGTTGAAAAAACTGAGGCCCAGAGACAAAAAAATGACTTTCCCAAATTTTCATGGGTACTAAGAGAAAAGACAAGGATTTGAACCCAGGTCCTCTGACTTCCAACCCAGCACTCTTTTCCACTGCTGAATTCTAGCTCTAAACTCTATGGTTCCCTTTGTCTTTAATTCTCTGGTTAGGAGAAGGGACATGGTCACACAGGGTCTCTTGATTCCTTAGTCCAAGGTTCTTTCCAATTCACACTGCCTCCTTTTTTCCCTCTTCTCTTATTTAACCCAGGAAAACTTCATGTTAGGCATGCTAGGGATAATTTAGCTTCCAAATGCTGCTTCTAGGCAAATGAAAACGTTTAGATTTTTAAAAGCTTTTTTTTTCTCCCCATTTTTTTTAAGTCATGGAATTTGACCAAATAAATTAGCTTCAGAAAATGGAAAAATATGGTTTTTGAAGGTTAAAAATCTTAATTCAATTCCATGTTTATGGCATGAAGATTTCATGCTGGTTTGGGTTTTCTGGGTATATTTTTCCTGCAGTGCCACAAAATGAGCCTATTCCAAATCACTGTTAATTCCCATTCTCCACCCAACTCTGTGCCTTTGGTATTGAAAGGCATGTTTTGAATGCATGCAAAAGGCTAAGCTATAATCATTGGCTGAAGTGTAATCCCTCGTGGAACCCCAATAAATGAAAGCTAAATATCAGCAAATGGATGGATTTCTGAGAAACATCTGTGTTCCATTACAGAACTTCTGGCAACAATGGTGTTGACATACTCAGTGTTACCGGTTATTTCCTCTTGGATTTGCCGAGACTGGAGGATTCCTTCCCGTTTCTGAAACAAGGGGGAAAAAGTGATGATTAAAAAAAAAAGCCAAAAAAAAAAAAATAAAAACCAAAACCTCAGCTCAGAGCTCTTAAGACTGAGAAAGTTACCAATGACTTTGAAGTACCCTCAGAGCAGAGACAGGGCTTAGGAAGGAAATTGTGCTCCAGCTTTTCGGTGACAGGGTTTGTACAGTTTTGACTCATGGGCAATTAAAAGCTTTGCCTCAACAAAGTAGGTCATTTTTTTTTCTTTGCTGGAGGCAAGATGCTCACCTCCAGTAATGAACAGTAAGATGAAATTATTGAAGACCTGAGCACGCCTTTTCCAAGAGAAGCAGAGAAACATAGAAGGGCATGATGTCTGGGGAACGTAGAACCATCCCACAGCCAATCTGGGTCATTCAAGAGGAGGTGTTTCATTTTGTTTTGTTTTGTTTTGTTTTGTTTTGTTTTGTCTTGAAATTGGGAAATCTGGATGCTTTTACTGTTCATTGCTAGTCATATTCAAGACCTACCTGGGACTGGCTTACTCCTTGGGTGTAAGTAAAGTACTTGTGGGGCACAGCCAATCTAGAAATCTTTATTGAGCACCTACTATGTGCAAGGCCGTCATCAAGGCAGTCATAGCACATTATCAATATGCCAGGCACAGGGGGACATAGAAATGACTTAAAGACATCCCTGCTCTCATGGTTGCTGCTTCTGCTGTTTGTTCTTTGTTCTCGAAGGGGACCGTGACATCAGGAAGGTGACGTCATGGCATGCAAGTGAATTGGATTTAAGTGAGGGACAGCTGTGCAAAGTCACCAGGCTCACTTTCTCCTCTGGAGCCATCTGGGTTCAGTGACTCTCATGGAGTTCAGAGTCTAGTGAGGAGGGAAGACAGAGTCATGAAATACTAGATAATAATAAACAGTGTGTGACAAGCAGTAAGTAGCATGGACCAGTAAGTATGACTGGAGGTCAGAGGAGGGATAGCCCATGTAGACAGTGATCAGGAGAGGCTGGGCCTTGGAGAATGTGTAGGACTTGGAGAGCCCTTTGGGAAGGCAAGTGTGGGTGGATGGGGAAAGATAAGAATAACAATACCTCAGCTTTCTCCAGCTTTTATAAAATGCTTTTCTCTCATCTTTCTGTGATCTGGAATATGTCCTGAAAGTACAAAGTGTGTGTTTGTAGGGTAGTAAGATTAATTTTGTCTGGGAAGGCTTGTGTGGGAGAGTAGTGAGTGGTGAGGTTGCAAGGACAGATTGGGGCTAGACAGAAGAGAACCTTGCATTCCAAGCTAAGGAGTCTGGACTTGATTCTGTAGCCAGACAATGGGGAGCCATTCAAAGTTTTGGAGTGGAGAGGGTGAACAATTTAAATTCATTTCAATTCAATTCAATGCACATTTATTAAGCACCTATGTACCAGGCAGCTCTGTGGCCTAGCAGATGGAGTGCTGGGCCTGGAGTCAGGAAGACTCTTCTTTCTCTAAATCCAGCCTCAGACACCTAACAGCTGTGTGATCTTGAGCAAGTCACTTAACCTTGTTTACCTCAGTTTCCTCATCTGTAAAATGAGCTGCAGAAGGAAATGGCAAACCACTCCAGTGTCTTTGCCACAGAAATTCCAAATGGGGTCAGACGTGATTGAAAAATGACTAAACAACAAATGTGCCAGGCACTGTGTTAGGTGGATAAAAAAATAGGCAAAAGACAGTCTTTGCCCTAAAGGAACTTACAGTCTAATGGACTGTAATCAAATAAAAGGGGGACTTTGGGAACATTACTGGTGTATATAGGGGCAATGGAAGGGTATAAGCACAGAATCGTGGGGGGCATGCTCAGAGGAGGAGTATGGAAGTATGGGGCCAATCCACTGGATACCGGTACCTGGTACACGTGGTTGGGAGAGTCAAGGCCTAGCCAGTCTAATCCATATCAAGACAGCTAAACTAAGCTAATATTGAGGATAAGGTCTGACGGAAGATAACCAGTCAGCAGGAAAGAAGGAGGGAAAGGAATTTCACATTCCCAACTCTAGCTGGTGGTTTGACTCATTCCCTCTTTTCATCTGTTCTTTCTCTCTCTTTCTCCTTGCTATGTGTCCATAGGACCATAGATTCTCAGAATTGGCACCACCTCAGGATTCAGATACCACCTAGCATACGCTCTACAACACCAACAGTTGGTCATCCAGCCTTTCATTTCGAGATGTTCAGAGCAAGGAGGGCCTCAGAGGTCAGCCTGATTCCCAGCTCCCTTATTCTGGGCATTACCCCTCTATCAATGCAGCCTAAGTTTACATTAGGTTTTTTTTGGCTGTCATGTCATATAATTGATTCACCTAAAACTGTCTTGTTGTTATTGTTGAGTAGTTTCAGTCGTGTCTGACTCTTAGTGACCCTATTTGAGGTTTTCTTGGCAAAGATACTGGAGTGAACTGTATGATCCACTAAAAAGCAGCAAGCTTCTTTTGATATCAGCTATGGTCTCCTTTATCCTATACAAGTGACTTTTGGAACCCAAGCATAGGACATAACATCTCTCTCTAAACAATTCTACTTCCTCCAGTTCAGCCCACTGTTCTAACTGGATAGATCTTTTAGGATCCAGATACATGTCATTTAGCATCTTTCTTAGCTTTGTGTCACTCACAAGTTTACTAGACATACATGATCGAGGCCAACATACAAGTCACTGATAAAAAGAGTAGAATGGGGCCAAGAAAAATGCCAGTGGCTCACTTCTTGAGACTTCTGTACATGTGAATACCAACCAAGACTTTCTGGTTCTGTTATTTTCAACAAATGCTTTAGAGTAAATCTCCTTTTAAGACACTCTGCCTGTCCACCCCAAGAGAGGGTGTCCTGTTGCTTCCTGGGAGGTGGGGAAATGGAATGTGGGAAAGGGGTATCAGATGTGGCCAGTGAAAGGGAAGGAACCCTGCCTTGCCCCACTCCCCCCAAAAAGAAGCAAATGTAATGCCAGTGAAATACTATGGTGTCTACAAGGGGACTCCTAAGGTAGGGGATGACTTTGGGGATGTGTTGTTGTCCTGGGGTTATGGTTCATGTTGCACATAAACACTTAGGAAAGGGGGTGGGGCATGGTCCTTATAAAAGCTATCGTCAGCTTATACTTTATTAAGGGAGCAGCATGGCACTGTGGAAAGAGTATTGCCTTTGGATTCCAAGAATGTAAGTTCCAATTCCAACCTTGCTGCTTACTACTTATATGATTAAGTTATTTTTCTTCTCTGGGCTCATTGGTAAAATGAGAAGAGGCTGGACCAAGTGACCCCAAAGGTCCTCTCCAACTCTCAATACATGATTCAAACTTAAAATGACAAGATACATAATTGGCTTAGATCAATTAGAGTGCAGAGTCAAAGCAGAAAAAAAAAAAAGAGATTCCCCCTTGTAACTCAGGCCATATGGGGCATACATCTCCTTCTCTCTTTTTACCCTTCCTACTGTATGTGCATATAATCTCAGTGTTTAATTGGGTCTGATCACTGATGGCTTTATACAAAGCAAGGAGAACATCTGAGTGAAAATGACTCCTAAGTAGCCAGCTGATTAGTCAGAACACATTAGCACGTATTTATGCCTGGAATATTTCCTTTTGTATTTCAATAAATGAATTCCTGCTGATACTTCTGCCTTCAGCTTTTGTGCATGTTTAACTTGATAATGAAAAAAAAAACCCTTTAAAACCTGAATTGCATTGATGCCATTTATGTAATGTGCCCTACTTTCTCCATCTCCCTAACAAAATTGTATTCAGGAGAAATTAAAAAGAAAAACCAACAAACCTAACCAAGCCAGCTGATGTCTTCTTTTGAACTCAGAATAAGGCATGAAAAAGGGATTTGGAACGGCAGTATCTTCAAAACAACAAACCATTCTTTTCCCCAATGCTTACAGTGAGGGTTTAGAGAAATTATGTAGACTGAAGGATATGCTAATAATTGCTAAGAAGACATGATAGTTTCTTCAGAGGCACAGATTATAAGGAATTGGATGTGGTAGTAAAATTCTTATACAAGGTATAGGAGGGATTGGAAAGGAGCTCAAAAGTCATCTTGTCAACCTCCTATTTGAAGAATGAGTCCCCTCCTATATCATCTCTGACAATTGTACCTCCAGGGACAGGGAACTCACTTCTCATGAGGAAGGCCATCCCAGTGAGACTACTGATTGCTAGAGAAGCCTTATCCCGAGGGCCTCTCTGTAACTTCCACTCACAGGCCCTAATTCTGACCTTTGGAGCTAAGCAGAGGAAACTTGATTCTTCTTGGAGGACAGCCTTCTGAAATCAGGCAGCTGTTCTGTCCCATCCTGTCCTGTCTTCTATAGTCTACCACCTGCCCCATTCCTCCAACTGACTGTCACCGTGGTATAGTTATCTATATGGAGGCCATATTTCTCTACCAGACTATAAGCTCTATGGGGGCAGGTACGCCAGGTTTCCTAAACTTATCTTCCATAGCATAAAATACAAGACTGTAAAAAACAGATGTTGAACAAATATTTGTTTAATCAAATGTTCTTCCTTTTGCCCTGCTCACGCCCCAGTTTGTCCCTCATAAAATGCGGCACCCAGAACTGAACATAATTCTTAAGCTATCTCACCCAAGGAAAAGACAATTTGTTCGAGGCAGCTAGATGGTGTAGGAGTCAAAGGACTGGACTTGGGGTCAAGATGACCTTGGTTCAAATCCTATTTCAGACACTAGTCCTTTGGACAAGTCATTTAACTTCTCTAGGGTTCACCTTCAGGTCCCCTTACTCCAAAGTTCAGAGCACTTTCTATCATACCATGCTGATTATCTGATTATCTGATATATCGCTCTGGACAAGTATATCCCACAGCTTCTGTTTTCTCATCACAGGGCTAGTATGAGAATCAAATGAGGGAATGAGTTAGAAAATCCCAGATCTAGAGTTGGAAGGAATTTTAGGGGGATAGTTTATATAGTGTAACCCCTCATTTTACAGATGACGAAATGGAGGCCCAC